AGCAACCCTGTCCTACATGAGAGGACCAAGCACATTGAGGTGGACAAACACTTCATAAGGGAAAAATTGGAAAAAAAGGGAAATTTGCATCCCTTATGTCAAYTCCAAGGAACAACTTGCTGATGTCCTCACAAAGGGGCTTCCATACTCGCGGCACAATGAGTTATGTGACAAGCTGGGCATGATAGACACATTCGGCCCAACTTGAGGGGGAATGTTGTAAGGTTTATTTAATTGTTACTTTATAGTTGTTGTTAGTAGGCTGACTTCTTAAGATACTATCAATTAGTTACTTGTCCTTTTTTTTTCTTATTAGTTTGGTTCTAGGGTGTGCCGCCAGAAGCATACTTGTAATTTCTATTATTTTTTATTAAGTTAATATAAATAGAGAACTAGCGGCAGTCAGCAGGATCTTTTTCCCCTCTCAATCGTATCTCCCTTTTCTTCTCTTTCTCTCTCTCTCTCTCTCGTCTCCCACTCTCCATGAATGATTACATCAACCATCCCCATTTTTGAATCCCTTAGAACTCTTCTCAAGCCCAAATCCCAAGAATTATTAACAAACACTGATGAGATCACTTTTCTTTTGTTTTCTTAATCTTATATTTCCTAATCCTAGGCCTCCATCATCCCTCCTCCTAGAAACCACCTCCCACTTCACTAGGTGATCCTTCTTAGTGTCCCCTAGTTCCCACAAGAAGTACCTCATTATCTTTCTAGCCAATTTGCTACTTTCACTGGTACTCTAAAGGTAGAAAGGAAATAGATTGGCAACCTTACAGGTTGGCCAAGGTTGACTTAATTAAGGTTATCCTACCCCCTAAAGAGATGTAATTCCTTTTCCAAGTTGCTAACCTCTTAGAAAAGCTTTCAATCACAAGGTACCAAAAGCTATCAACCATTGGGTTCCCTCCTAGTGATAGCCCCAAATATTGTAATGGCCAATCCCCCACTTCACACCCCAATAATCTCGCTAGGGAATCCACCTCCTCTCCCCCTAAATTAACTCCTGCAACACAACTTTTGCCCCAGTTCACTTTAAGATTGGACTTCTTTTCAAACTGTAGCACTAGTCTCTTTAAGTTCAGCAACTCCCCTTCCTTCCCTTTAAAAAACAAAATGATATCATTTGGAAATTGTAATTGAGTTGTATACGGTGCAAAGTGTTGAGAAATCAAGAAACCAACATGTTCAGAAAATCAATGTGGCACAAATGTGAATGCTAAGGTGGATGAGTGGAAAAACTAGAAAGGATCAAAAATGAAACCATCCACAAAAACCTAACAATAAGTGGTAAAATGAGAGAGAGTAGACTAAAATGGTTTGGTCACATGCATAGAAGACCACCAACAGCTCCAATTAGAAGAAGTGATTTGTTACAAATGGAAGGGGATAGAAGAGCTAGGGGTAGACCAAAAAGGACTGGGTAGAAGTAGTAAGGAATGATTTAAGCACTAATAATTTAACAATGGCTATGGCTTTAAATAGAATGGATTGGTGAAATAGGATTTATGTAGCCAACCCCATATAGTTGGGATAAAGCACAGGTGATGATGATGCTAATGATGATGGTGTATGATATAAAAAAAAGCTTCAAGAAGTACAATGAAAAAAAAATTCAAAAAGGACTAAAACGTTCATTATATTTTACTTATGAAAAAGAATTTGAAATGTTATATTAAATACATAAAAAAGTACAGTAATGTTTGAAATATTATATATTTAATGTTTTATATCATACAAGGCTCAAAGTATTCGTACACCCCGATACGGCAGAAGGGGTGCATCAGTACTTTGTACTACACGCATATCATTTTTTTAGTTTTTGTTTCAAAAATAGGGATGGAAAGGTTTAAGCATCATTTAACATTTAAAACAGATACTTTTGTGATTAGTCTTAAAAAAGGCATATCGACAGGTTGGCATTACGATATGATACACCTGATACAGGATGTATCGTGTTGATACTTTGAACCTTGATATAATATGTATTTAATATTTTGCATTTAAAAACATAAGCCCAAAACCTGGTCCAACCCAGGCTTATATTTCAGGCATGGGGTCCAGATTGGGCCAGGCACAAGCACAATTAAGATCCATAGGAGAATTTGAGGGCTTGAACCCATAGGATAATTTGAGGGCTAACAATTAAGATCAATGGGAGAATTTGAGGGCTTACAATTAAGATCCATAGGAGAATTTGAGGGCTTGAACCCCAACTGTCAAATGACCTTGAAGATAAGAGATAATAAGATGTATTTTCTGTACAAAAATAAAGATACCCCTATGAGACTTGGCCACCTCATTTTCAAGGAAATACTTCAATAGACCTAGATCTTTGACTTCAAATTGGATGACTAGAAAATTCTTTAGCTGCTTAATTTCAGACTAATTACTTTTGATGACAATATCATCCATGTACACAATTAAGGCTACAATGTTGTCTTGCTTTCTCTTCACATAGAGTTTATGATCAGCCTTGCAGCACCTATACCCCACCAGCTAAACCAATTTGTTAAATCTATTGAACCACTCTGGGAGATTGCTTCAGGCCACACAAGGTAACATTCCTCTTCACTACCATGAAGCTGAAAACTTAGTAGCCACATCATGTATAGCTCTTAATCTGCCAAGATTCATGCTCTTATTTTTCTTCATTAAAAGAAAGGTTAGAGTTTTAAATATCACTCCTTGCTTCTTAAATTATTGATCTTGATTCTAGTTTTTGAACTTTATTTCATGGATTCATTTTCTTGATTCTACTTCTTGAGTCTTGACCTACCACTCTATAAGCTAAATGTCACAGTCAAATTTCTATTGCCCAAAATAAATCCCTAATAAGATAAAGCTCAAAAATATTCAGAGGTGGCTATTTCACTAATCTTGGAATGAATGGATAGATATAGCCTTCAAAAAGATAAGTATAAATCCTAATGTCCAGATCCAAATGATAGAAGGGAAGCACATTAGTTTTTGTCGAGTATTTACCTCTAGTAGATCATCAGCCTGGTTGGCTATATCATTTAGATTTGCCCCTGGAAGATGAACTTTTGTGCCATTCTCACTTTTAAAAACACCACCACCTGCAGCCACTCGACGCAATAACTCATGCCGGCTTTCTTTCTGAGGAGTTCTACAAAGTAGACCAATCACTTGTACCTAAAATCCAAAATCCATAACAATAACAATTGATGTTTAAGTATATGATCATAAGTTCCAACTTCCCTTGGACCAAAAATATTATTAGTTCTTAAGAGTGAAACCAAACAGACTCACATGTGGAGGACACTTTTTTGTAAGATGGGATAACACTGTCTGCTTGATAACCTCCAAAAGAGACTTGCGCTGGATGGAAACAAATAAAAATGAATAAAGAAACAACAATGTTTGTACTGGATTTATATTTTGATTAACAGAAAAAAGAAAACAACTAGGACTGGAAACCAGAAATCTCTGCGGTCCTTTAGAGTAACAATGTGACCCAAGTAAAAGACCAAGATGTGATGCATATCCTTTTATTATCAGTTTTTACATTATACTTAATGTCATAATACAACAAATGAAGACATTGACATGGATATTCTCATGTCTAGTATAAAATTACCCATGACCTTCAAAAATATTATAATTTATTTCTCCACCCACTCTTCTTGCCTGCTTGCAATAATCATTGATCGCAATTTAATGGACAATACAAGCCAAATAGGAAGAATAAATTCAATGATTTAATTTGTCCCTGTTGATCTCTCTAAAGACTCAAAACACATCTAGAATTTTAATTTTGTGCAGTAAATGCAGAAGGGAATCTCTTCAAGAATTCATTAGCAATCTCGGTACTATTGGCATTACAGGACATGCAAATCCACAAATAAAGTTTGAAGTCGAATTTGGTCCTCCCAAAGATGCTATCAAACGAATTCAGATACAAAATCATTATTGTTGTTCCAGTAAGCAGCTAGAAATAAAATCAACATAACAAGAATAAAAAAGTTTAATAGTCAAAACAAAGGGTTAAATTTGTACTTGATCATCTTCATCCTTTTCAGCAAGTTGGATCATGTAATCAAGAGCCATCATAAACCCACTCTCCATCTCATCAACTCTCTTCCCAATGACTCCTTGTGCAGCTAACTCCACCGCCATCTCCTCTGATGCCTCATCCATGTTCATATCCTCCAACTGCATGACATATATTAAACAATTACATGATAATCATGGCATGCTTACATGAGTACTAGTCCATTTCTTCAAATCCAAAACTATCTTACTCACAAAAGTCAATAGAACAGAAATCAAGACTATTATCAAATGAACTTTAAGTAACAACACATGAATGGACTCATTTCAAATTCTGTGTAAAATGATATGAAATTTATTTAGTTTTGACATCGTTTCCTAACTCTTTTCTCAAAGATCAGCATTCTTTTCTTGAAGAAACCTTGAAGATTTTCATGAAAACAAAATGAGAACTTAAAATTTACATTGCTGTGCATCACTACATGTAGGTCTAGATTCAAGAAATGGATTTTTTTTATCAGTAGAAATGGAATGTTAGTCCAACATAAACATTTAAACCTCCCAAAATTGAAAAATTCACATACATGTATCATTACATATAATTTTTTTCAAGTTACCCAATCAAAAGAACTCAAAATTGGGAATCTTAAGTATTTCTAAAACACAGAAATGTCTTCAACAGAATTACATTGTTGCACTCATATAGGCCGCATAAATATAATCTTTAACTAAAATGAAATACTACACGGCTACAGTCTTAAGCATTAAGAAGTCCTTCCCTCCTTTTGGCTTTGTTTTTTCCGTTGGTTTATCTGTTTATATAGGCCTTATATCAAGATATCCAGTCAATGCTCGAAAATGGACGTAGAAAAGAAACTGTATGAACTGAATAAAACTTATTACCCAGAAAAGAAAGGAATTAAACTTACCAATTTGACCATTTCCTCTAGCACAGAAGCGACCTGTTCGCCTCCTTTAAGGAGGGCCTCGTAGTCTGAAGGGTCCCATTTCTGGTCTCCTTGTTCACGTGCTCTGGTTTTCAAGGAAACATCCTCATCTGGGTAGCCTCCACCAACTTCATAGCTTGCGCAGAGAGCCGTCCAGGTTGTCTGCTTCTTGGGTTGTCGAAAGGGAGAGGAGAGCAGAGCCTTTCTGCAAAAAGAGGAGGAAGAGACTGAAGAGAGAAGATGAAAAGAAGGGATATCCTGCTTCGTAGAAGAAACTAAGCAAGAACGGGAAGGGAAGAGGACTAGCCTCTCCAACATTCTTGCGTCTCCTTTCAAATTTATTTTCTGGGTATTTGAGTTCTTCAGTTCTTCCCTGTTCGGCGTTGGCCTTCGAAGAAGAAGAAGAAGAAGAAGAAGAAGAAGAACACTTAAAAAGCTGCTGGATATTCTGATTTGTGAGTTGTGATGGCGTCTTTCATAGATGGGCAGTGGAGTCTGTCCTGCTCAGGGGAACACCGGTTGATTTGTAGAGTAGCATCCATGACCATGGATTGGATTAGACTTTAGAGAAGCTTGTTCACGGAAAATGGCCCACAACGCGAGGTGAACAGACGATTACAAAATGCAGATTTGCGATCGGATGGATAAAAAAATTGGGAACCGAACTCTCCACACCACATGGTTAAAAGCCATCCGCTCTACCGGCCAAACGTTGATTTCAAAAAAAGTAATCCAAATGTATCACGTTTGGCCGCAATTAAGTAGAAAAAAATCGCCGTCTGTGGGAATCGAATCTACGACCACATGGTTAAAAAGCCATGCGCTCTACCGGCTGAGGGTACGTTGATAGGGCGAGCAAAACCGATTCATTCAATTTTTTAAAAGCATTGAATTGAAACCAAACCGATTCATTCAATTAACCGATTTTTAGATTCGATTTCTTTGTTTTTTTGCTCACCCTATTAACGTACCCTCATCTTGAAGATAGCATAAGTTGGTCCATGTTACAGAACATAATATATACATTTTTATACATAACCATGAGCCTTCTTAACTCAACCRGTAGAGAGCATGGCTTTTAACCAAGTGGTCGTGGGTTCAATTCCCATAGACGGCAATTTTTTTCTACATATTATTTATTATTTAAAATATAATATTTTATATATATTTATAATTTTTTATTATATATTTTTATAATAAATATTATAAAAACTAAAAAACTGAAAAACCGGCGAACCGAACCAACTGGTTTCGATTCGGTTCCGATTACCAGTTTTCCAAAAAATGGTACTACCGGTTTGATTCACAAAAATGGCCTACAGTTCAGTTACCTGAACCGTGAGCACCCCTAACGCTCAGGACTAAAAAGAATGAAGTAAACCAAATGCCTTTTTATCAATCTACAAGTGGGAATCAGTGCAATGCACGGGATTTGTTAAAACGAAAGCTAAATAATATAAACACATAAAAGTATACAATTATTTTATATTTTCTTACTTTTTAAAAAATTAATAATTATTTATATTTTTGTGTTTGACTATGATATGGGAAAGATATGATATCTGAAAATTTTTTTACCAATTAATTGGTATCATAAATGTGATGGCCAATCAAGTGTTATTTATCAAAATTCATGAGTGGATTTTGATTAGTCAAAACTCTTCTGATACCATATCTTTCCCGCATTATAGATTTTCGCTTATATTTTATATACTATTTTTAATAATTTTTTTTACAATACAACAATAACTATAATTGATTTTAGCTAGGGTTGTTCATCAAACTTATGAAACCGACCAATCCAACCAACTCAACTCAAGTTGGTCGTTTTTCTAGTATTTCCAATTGGCTTTGGTTCAACAATTCCCCAACCTAACCAAGTTAGATAAATTTTGCTTTGGCCATTTGTAAATTGGCCAAAATCGAACGACCGTACATAGATATATATATTAATATTTTATATTTTAATATATCTATTTAATATGAGAAATTAGGAAAATTCCCATATTTTTAACCAACCAACCACTATAATTTTAAAAATTTAAATTTAAATCTTTTGAACCAACCGACCAAACTGAAAATTGACCCAAAACAATATAACCCAAGTTAATTGGTTTTCAATAATGGCCAGTTGATTTCGAGTGACCAACACCCCAACCTGACCAAGTTGATTTGGTTGGCCAAACAGCCTATAGCCAAACTAAATCAACCTATGAACACTACTAATTTTAGTTAAATTAATAGTCTAATCTCTAATAAATAACAATAATTTAATCTCCAATAATTATTGAAAACATATTGATAATAAAAATACAATAAATAATTAATAAAAATACTAAAAAATATATTAAATTAATCAATAAATAGTATAATCTCAAATAATAGTTGAATCTCTAAGAAACATTATTATAACAAAAAGTACAATAAGCACAACAGATTAAATTTAAAAAGTTAAATAGCAGTAGTTTAATCTCCAATAATTTTTCAAAATTTTCAGTTAAATAACAAAACAAAAATAGATTTATACAAAATTATTGAAAATAAATTTATCATAAAAAATAAATACTTATTGAAAATATAATAAATATTAATTTTAGCATATATAAATATATAATAAATATAGATAAGATTTTAAAATTCTTATTAAAAAATATTAAATTCTCTAAAAGTTATTTTCTAAAATTATTAATTGATATAAATGAAATTAGCTACTTAAATAATATCACTATTTTAAATTTAAAATATTAATTATTTTTTGAATTTAAGAATCTATAAAATTATAATTTATACTATTATTACATAATTTCGTTATTAATTTTGTAAAATATTAAGTTGTTATTAATTTGAATGTTATGTTATAATTTTTTCTAGTTTTAAGATTTTTTTTATTTATTACATAATCTAATTATTTTAACTATTTAAAATCTACTTAAGTTAAATATTTCGTTAGTTAAAATATTAAGTTATTTAAATATTTAAATAATGTATAAAAAATTTAAAATATTTTTCCTTGAATTTTATTTAATTCAAAGTTATTACATAATATTAAATATTTTGTTATATAATTATTTATCTATTTTTAATAATTGTTATTTAAGATATTTAGTTACTGAAATTTTTTAATAATATTTTATTTTTTAATGTTAATTTTTTTATTATTTGAATAACATTTAAATTGAATAACCGAAAAACCACAATTTATATTGTTAGTACATAATTTAATGGTGAATTTTGTAAAAATATGAAATTATTTATATTATAAATATTATTAATTAATTATATTATAATTATTTTTTATGTTTTTAATAAATATTTTAAAGTTACTATATAATTTCGTTAGAATATTTAAAGAACTTTTAAATTTTTAATTCAAACTTTCTTTATATAGATATAAATAAAAAATAGAGGAGTGGATAAATAGGAATTAGAGATAATTTAGGAGAGAAACAAGAATTAGAGAAAATTTAGGATATAAATAGGAATTATAGATAATTTCGTATATAAATAATTAAATAGGGATTAGAGATAATTTAGGAGAAAGTGAGGGATAGTGGGGGAGGTAGTTTGGGAGATATTTTAGGAGAGGTCATTATTTAGGTTCTTGGGAACAAGAGAGAGAGAGAGAGCGAGAGATTTTAGGTAATTTTTTATGGGGAAAGAAAGCATCTCATTGGTTGTTTAAAAAGTGACATGGAATTAAAAAATAAAAAATTCAAAAAAAAGGAGAAAATTTCTAGAGCGTTGTGTTTTAGTGTGAGCGCTTGCTCACTTGCCCCTTGTCATTGGGGTTGGTGCCTTTATATATGCCTTGCTCATGTACCGCTCCTAAGATCTCCGGGAGGTTGTGTCTAACTGGTCTAAGATTCCTGGAGGTAACCGCCATGCATGTTGACCACCCTCCAGATTGTTCGACATGTGGGCCAACTTCCAAGGGTCATGGGAGTGTTTGGATATGCATGCCGAATTCGTCGGCGAGCACGTCTTGCAAGTCGCCAGGTCGGTGCCTGTGCCAGGCCGCCAAGTCACGCTTGTGCCAGGCTGCCAAGTCGTGCCTGGGCTAGGCCGCCAGGTCAGTGCCTGTGCCAGGTCACCAGGTCGTGCCTGTGCTATGCTGCCAGCTTGTGCCAGGGCTAGGCCGCTAGGTCGCGCCTGTGCCAGGCCGCGTCTGGGTTGCCAAGTGGGACACCATCAACTTGGCTAAGGCAAGTTGTTGCCAAAATGGTTCCGGGTGTCACCTAGTTGTTCTAAGGTGCCATGTGTCACAATATCATTAGAGGGCCAAATCCGCCCTCATCATTTGGCCCCCCCCCCACTCCCGAGCTGAAAGTAACTCGGCGAAGGGAGTAGATTTCTCCTTTTGGCCCAGAATGAATAATTCGATGAGGAAGTCTTCGCTAGTTTGGTATTTTGGCCCTTAGGCTATGGGAGCGACTCGTAGTCCACTCTCCTTGATCTCGCCCATGCCGAAGAGGCGACTAGGTCTTATGTGGTATTTTAGCCCTTAGGCTCTGGGAGCGATTCGTAGTCCACTCTCCTTGATCTTTGATTTTGCCCACGTCGAAGAGGTGACTAGGTCTTATGTGGAGCCGAAGTCTTTTATCAGCTTGCCAGTTTGCACCTGGGCCAAGTCGTTGGTCGCACCAAGGCTAGGCCACGCCAGGGCGGCGCTTGTTGAAAGAATGGTATGATCCATCTAATGGACGCCATAAAGGTTGCGGCGAATTTCAAAAATTTCCTACCTTCTCCCAACTGGGAATCATATTCCCT